CTCTCTCTCTCTCTCTCTCTCTCTCTCTCTCTCTCTCTCTCTCTCTCTCTCTCTCTCTCTCTCTCTCTCTCTCTCTCTGTGCGTGTGTGTGGCGCGCGAGCGCGGAGACATACAATGACCCTCCTCTTTTCCAAGACTGGCGATATGTTTGCTGGCAGATGTGCGCGCGCAAGCACTCACCTAAAGGGGACTGGATGAGGAGAGCTGGTGGGGCCTTCTCCCCTTCTCCTTCCTCTGCTTCCTGAGGCGCAGCTGGCTATCGCGTTGAGAGGGTGGACGCGGCATCTTTCAAGTCTCTCCTTGAGTTCTGTGATAACGGCGGGCTGTTGGTACCTTCTCTTCCTCCTGATCGAACTCATAGGCAGCGAGCCTATCTGGTCAAAAGCCACCTTAAGAAGAGCGTCGGCGTCGAACGCTCTGGATGTGAACTCCTGAAGCAAGCTGACAACGTCACCGACATTCATCAGCTTCATGATCTGCGGCTCATTCAGCTTGAAGATGGCCAGCGCCACTCGGAACAACACCTTCGCTCCCTCGTTGAACAGCACATCCCATAACCTCATCGCCATCTCCGTCGGGAAGCTCTTCGCAAACAAACACAAGAACCACTCCGTCGTCACGAGCCCCACATCGAAGCCGATCAGCTTCAGATGCGTCGACAGCTTGGGCAGTTTCTTCCACAGCAGGTCCTTGAGTACTCTCTGCTCCACGTGGCAGCCCAGCAGGTTCTCAGAGTAGCAATCCGTTAACAGCAGCTCCTCGAGCAGCACAGTCAGCACCCAGAAAGCGTCTTCCTCTGACCGTAACACCACCAACAAGTACGCAGCCACGTAATTCATCCCTTGGCAATAACCAACGGAAGTCTCTCTCCAAGAGTAGGCGACGAGAATCCGTCGAAGTGACCTCAAAGCCGCCTCCGTGTCGAGCCAAGGGTGGCCAGGGAAAGTGCGTCGGAGATCGTTGTCGATCTGTCGCGTCGCCGCCGTCTCTCTTCCCTCCATCTCTCGAAGCAACGACTGGTAGTAGTCTGGCGGCATGGATGCTTTCTTCCTCATAGCCCCCGAGCAGGTCTTCCAAACCTCAGGTCGTAGCCGGGCAGGCACACCCTTGCGAACCATCTTCTTCACCATTGAATTATGCCGGAAACACACTGTCGCCGCCTTGAACTTCAGCTTCAAACCTGCTTTTGGAGTGGATGACAGCTCTCCTCCTCCTCCTCCTCCTCCTCCTCCTCCTCCTGCTGCTGCTGCTCCTACTACTTCTATTCCTGCTACAGTTGCTTCTGGTGATCGTGTGGCAGAAGTTCCGTCATCTGGTCGTGGAGCAGGTTCGGAACCTGGTCCGGGCCTTGGTCCAAATACCGATCCGCATAGCGATGGCAAAGGCACCCTCTTGTACCAGCGAGGGCCCTTGATTGCTTCTACGGCTGCCCACAGCTTGCCTGTCTCGCTCGTGCGCTGCTCCACCTCACGTATAAGAGCCGAGTCCGCTGCTGTCACCTCCGCTCTGAAGCCATAGCCATCGGTGACAGAGATCCTATTTGTCTGAGGGCAGACAGGAGAGGATCCTTGAATTTTCACCAACAGCGGCGGCCGCCGTGGACTACTCCTCCAACAGCCTCTGAAACCTGCTGCTGTTTGTCTTTCCATCGTTTCCCCCTGCATTGCTGCTTCTACTACCACAGCTCCTGCCGCTGCCTTCCCTCGTATTTCTACCTGAGCGGGCATGTCAGATTCTCGATCTGATCCGCTTCTCTACCACCTCTCCTTCCTCCTCTCTCTCTCTCTCTCTCTCTCTCTCTCTCTCTCTCTCTCTCTCTCTCTCTCTCTCTCTCTCTCTCTCTCTCTCTCTCTCTCCCCCTCCTAACCCCGCATCGTACCCCGCCGTCCTTCAACTATGCACCATTTGATATTCCGGTGGTGTACTTCTTAACTGTGGCAGCAAGACTACACTACTGTACCAGACCTGACTCTTGTCCGCCTGCTACTCCCTTTCTCTCCTCTCTCACCTCTCTCTCGTCTCTCCTCTCTCTCCTCTCTCTCCTGTCTCTCCTAACATCGCATCTTCCGCTGCATTCCTTTAACTACATTTACTGCTGTTTCGCTTAACAATCCCCTTGCATTCTCTCTGCTCCTCTTAACAAGGCACTTTCCCACTCGGAACGTCCGATTAGGAGACGACGAGAAAACAATTCCCCTGCATTCTCTCTCCTCCTCCTAACAATCCACCTGCTGATCATCTCCAAAAGGAGAGGAAGAAAAAGCGAGAGAAAGAGAGCAAGAAAAAAAAAAAAAAAAAGTAGAGAGAAAGGGGGGAAAAAAAAAGAAAAAGAGAGGAAGAAAAATTGAAGGAAAACAGAGGGCGAAAAAATTTAGTAAAGAGAGAATGGAACCGCCAGTCGGACTAGACAACGGCTTTTAGTCTTTCCGACTCGTTCCCCCTCGTGCTTGTCGTCTCCTCTCTCAACATTTCCCTCCCC